GAAAGAGAAGGGAGATTTGAGATTGTGTTTGCTTTGCCAGATGAGAACCCTGGTTTGCAGGGATGTGGCAGTGTCTTCTGAGGAAATACTGACTGGAGGAGGTGAGAGAACTTTGCTTGGAGCTAGAGTTCTGTGTTGTTTGTGACAACTCTCAGGGCTGCTAGTGCCTTACGTCGCTTCTATAGTGGGCCCCGTGAAGGTACTGTGCGTGCCACACACACGCATTAATTAAAAGATTAATATAGTAGAGGACATGTTCCCCATAACCCCTTTCAAAATCTCCCTCTCACTTCAATACACTTGCCCCATCACCCTTGCCACCTTGTGAAGCAGGTTGGAAGCCCTCTTTCCCGAATGTCTTCACAAGGTGATAAAAACTACAACAAACACTGCTGCAGATTCCCAAGCAACGGAAAGGCAAATTCATAAAAACACTGGGGTGAGTCCTCATCCACCTTGGCCACTGCACTGTTTCTTCTGGCTCTTACTGAAAAAGATCCTGAAAAGGAAACATTTTGAATCAATTCAGGACACAGAGGCAGCCACAAGAGTGCAACTGAAGACCCTCATGAGAGAGGACCCCAGAGCTGCTGCAGGAAGTGGTCAGAATGTCGGGATCAGTGAGTTGGATAGGAAGCGGAGGCTTCTGAGGGGTATTTAGGCCAATGTGTCTTTTACTTTATAAAGTTTTAGAAGTGTAAACATACCTTATATACTTAACACTTTTTATATATATTATAATTCTTTGACATCTGATAACTGAAACAGAATAAACTATCTTTTTTTTCCTGCAGAGAAAAGGCCCCTTTTAGGGCTAACCAATTCTTCAAGACAGCATAGGGATCAGCCTTGGCTGTGTCGTTGATTTGCAGCCTTGAGATTCCAGAGCCAGACCTCCTCTCTCCAGCCCAGGCACTTAGGGGTAATAGTTCTCTACTTTAATCATGCCAGGGCCACATACCAGGCACCAGGGACCCCGAAATGACTCAGATGCCCCAACCCTAGCTTTCATACTTCCCTGTGTGGTCTGCCCCACATGGCTGTGTGCGGTGTGGTGTAGCCCTGGCTCAACTCCTGTGAGGAGAATGCTTTTGTTGAGCCTCTCTTTGGTCTCCTTTGTGGCTGTTTGACTCATCCCATCTCCAAAACACAGGACACATACTGCCCCCACTTAGGGCTTTGATGGAAAATCATTAGTCAGAAAGATGGCATTGACCTCCCCAAGCAGGGAACTGTGAGTCTATTTTTTACTTTGTTCAGAGGGCTACCAAAGTATACCTAGAGGGGGCAAAGGCTAAAGTCGATCGCATAGACTCTAAAGTTGGACTCAACCATCTTGTAATACCCCACAGCATTTTTGGTCTGTCTTAAGTGGTAGAAAACTGCCGCCCTCAGATCAAGACTAGTGAGCACAGTCACCCCTCAGGATGGATTACCAGTGCTTACCGGCATCAGCTTAGAGGGCACCCAGGGTGCACGAACAAGCAGAGCAGAAAGGAGACTCCACTGATGGGACTGTAGAACAAAAGCAGCTGGGTTGGAAGAAAAACTTCCCAAACTGAATGTTAGACAGAGGGCCTGGAACCACATAATAACCTTATGTTGACACATGTGGTAATAAATATGTTTGCACACTTTCTATGAAAGTGCGTACGTTTATACGTTATGGGTACACGTAATTGTCATAGACTGTTAATAGTCTGTCAGGCTCTAAGTATATAAAGGATCAAAGGGCTTGAAAAAAAGGTTCTTCCAGACTCCTGCAGCTGTAACGAAACAGGGAAACCTCTCAGAGCGAATCATCCTCCCAGCCTCACCCACCTGAGCCCTGATTCTTGCCTTTCGGTTTCTGAGGAGGAGCTCAGTCTGCTGACCATGTGCTGTGTGCCTGGGTCACAAAAGGAGAGAGCGGACAGTGGCACAGGGCCAGGGAGGAGGGGAGGGTCCCCTTTGCCAGGACACCCCCGGGCCTGGCTCTTCTGCCCGTCCGTACCCCTAGCTCAAGTGTGAGGCCCACAGGGTTCCGTGAGCGACCTCACTGCCCAGGCAGAGAAGCCGCATACGCAGCCCGGATGGCAAGGGCCTCTGTGGCCACGAGGCGGCTCCCTGCTCTCGATTCTGGACAGCCTGGGCTCAGGGCAGTGCTGGCCCTTATGTCCTCCTGCTTCCCTCTTTGGGGAGACTGCATCCTGTCTCAGGGACCCTGGAGGCACCCACCCAACCCTACCACAGGGCGCGTTTGCATCCAGAGGCCCCAGTGCAGGACACAGATGGCCACGACCGGGCAGCCTCTGAGAGCCAGGTAGCCTTTGGTCTGCACGTTTGTACATGTTCACTTGTCGTGTTGGTGGCTGGGAAGAGAGATGGAGAGGCAGGAGAGGGCCCATGTCCCCTTCAAGGGCACTTGAAGTCTGCTTCCTGCAATGGTCCCACCTCCTCAGGTTGCGACACTCCGCCAACACAGCCTTCGCGCGTGGCCTTTGGGGGATTCCACGTCCGAACACAACACACGTATTCACCATCCACCTGGGAGACCACGCTCATCATCCCTTTTTTACAGCCGAGAAGACCGAGGCGCAGCAGCAGTCACACAGGAGAACTGCGATGCTGACCCAGGGTGCCAGCGTCCCCCGGGTCAGAGGCAGGGCATTTTCTGAATCCTGGACGCCGTGAGCTCAGGGCTGGTGAGTGCCGAGTGAGACCGGTGGCGGCTCGGTCCTCCGCAGCAGGCGTCAGGCACCCTGGTTCCTCCAGAGAGCATAGAGCCGAAGAGCCCAAGGAGGCAGCCCCAGGGGCCCCGCTGCTCTGCTTCTCTGCACACAAGTTCTTGCCCAGCAAGGCTTCAGCTGTGAGGAGCGCCCGTCTGGTTCTCCAGCAACAGCCTGCTGCTCCACAGGGGTCCCCTCCCTGCACTGTCGGCACTTCTGCCTGGGGTCTTCCTCAGCGAGGAGCGGGGACACCTTGAGGTCCAGAGAAGGAGAAGCCGCAGAGCAAAGCTAAGTGTGAGGCCGTGACATGGGTGGAGGGTGCCTGGGCCTGTGCCGCCGCCACCAGTGGGCCGTGCGTCCTTCACCCCTGGGCCCACAGCCCCTCCCTGTACTCCCTGGCTGAGTGCAGCTGGCCTTGGAGGGCATAGCGCTGGGCTGGGACTGGTTCTCAGGAGTGGTTTCCAAGTGAGCAAACACCACTCTGAGGCACTGGATACCAAAACCCAACCAACAGAGGAAGAGGTGAGGAGGTGCTCAGTGTTTGCAGCTTCTGGTCACCCCAGCTCCCTCAGGCGGAGAGGCCTCCCGGAAGCCAGAGCTCAGACAAGAATATTTACTCCTTCTGAAACATGTTTGCCCTCCTAGACATTGACCTGGTGCACCTTCTGTGGCTGGAAGCCCCACCTCCACCCCTCCCGGGCCACTTCTGTTCTGAATCGCAAAGCCTTCACCAGGCCTGGATCCTGGTCTCTTCTGAACCCAAGATGGCTCAGGTGTGAAGAAGACTGAGGGCTCCACTATCTGGACTGTACCCCACACCCTAGCTCTCTCCCTGCCTTCCCTCTGGCCTGCCTCAGGATTGTATGTCCATCAGGAAGGGCCGTGGACATCAGGTGCTTAGCCTTTCAGGGAAGCCAGGCTCCAACTGTGCCCTTGGCGTGTGTACCAGCTCTTCACGTCATGGCTCTTGGCAGGCTTGGCCATGGCATCCTGTGTGCTGGGTGTCTCCCAGGATGGAGCCCCTCTTCCTTTGCAGGCCACTGAAGACTCATGACTCCTCTAATCAGGGAGACTTCCTCAAGAGGAGGGGCCTCCCACCGGGAAGGGGCTTCTTGGGGACCCCACTGGGCCAGAGAAGTCCCCTTCTGCCTGTAGACACAGGACAAGGCCAGTGCAATTCCAGAGACAAGGACGGTCACCTTCTCCTGACTGCTGGGTCTCAGTGGCTGCCTTGTAGCGGGGTGACCAGTGGTCTGGCAGGAAGCCTGCCTCAGACCCATAGGTCCCAACAATCCGGGGCCTCGGCAGGAAGTGAACGGTCTGTGTGACCTCTGCCTGGTGGTGGAGACAGAGAGGAGCACAGAGGCGGTCAGCACTGGAAGCAGCAGCTCCTCTCCGGGGACAGCTGGGCTCATGGGACTCTCATAAAAGCCCCGAAGTGGGACGGGTCCCCACCTGCCTCTGTAGAGGGAAACTGAGGGACACAGTCGTAAGGGAGTGTTGTCTAAGAAAAAGATTATTCATCACCATTGAGGACGGAAAGGAAGACTACTCAAGGGAGGCCACAACAGGACAAGTCTCGGAGTGGAGAACAGAGACGAATTCGCTCCAAATACCCCACAGGCGGGCATGCGTGGGTTGGGGTCAGTGGTGGCGAAGCACAAACAGCAAGCTCCAGGCTAAAGGGGTTCTGGCCAGGCCGCCTAAAAGTTCCTTGCTGAAGACGGGCGGGAGCTCCAACATGGCTGAGGGCTGGAGGAGCCGGAGAGCCCATCAGACCTTGAGGGCCAAGAAGTCAGGGTAACATGACCTGGGAGGGCCCTTACCAAAGGTCAGTACGGTGGGGAAACGAGTGGGGCACCCACGGCCCCTGAGAGGAGCGCCCTGAGGAGCAGAGCAGGCTTCGCTGGAGGGAGTGAAGAGGGGGCCCCCTGAGAGTCGCGTCCAGGTGCGAGGTGACCGGGAGGTGGCCCCTCTCCCATCGAGCTGCACTTTCATCTGGGCTGTGCAGAGAAATGCTGTTTCTGGTCCCAAGTAAAGCTGTCCCCTGATGGAACCTTTGCAGGCAGAGTGTATGTCACTGAGGCACAAATTAAAGACAGCAAGTTCCCTGAAACTTTCCTCAGCACTGTACCCCTCAGGCTCCTTCTTCCCCTCTCCACCCCTGCCATGTTTTCCTGTGGTGAGGCTCTGGCAGCTTCCGGAAGACAAGTAACGGGAACATCAGTCAGCCCACAGCCGCGCTTCCTGTGCTGCAAAAGGTGTCCCCGCTGCACTGTGGAGGTGGGAAGTTGCACAAAGCTGGGCAGTGCTGCCTGCCGTTGTTCTGCTGCATGGACAGCGCGCGGGGCCCACATCACCCCTGCAGCTGTGACAGACTACGTCCTGCCGCCCAAACATCTCGAGTTCCCGCTCTCTGCACTGCAAGCCGGGGTAATTACCAGGTAACTGATCGAACCGAGGTCTCACCCATGCGCTGCAGGAAGTCTGGCCTCCTGGCCTTGCCCATTCTGTGCCAGACTCCATCTTATCTATCTCAGGAGTTCGCAGGTGCTACCTGGAGAAAGGTTTCACTTTCTTAGGAGATAAAGAGCCATAGAATGGCTACTGGGCATGACTCAGATTTCTGGAGGATGACTCTGATGCGGTGGGTAGGGGTGGGGAAGCGCATGGACACCAAAAGAAGGGAGCCCTGGATCTCCATCCAGGGTGGCAAAATCCAGTATCTTTAAATGAAGCATTCATCGGTGACCAATATTTAGAAGGAACATCAGGAAGCATGCAGCCGATATTCGCTGGGTTTTGTAAGGTGTAGGAAAGGGCATCTACCCATCACTTGTTCTGGAAAGGAGGATGGATGTCACATCTGCAACTGGAGACCATTCCGACAGGAACCGCCTCTGAGGGCGCGCCAAGTGCTGGCTCAGGCTTCCTGATTCCCACCAGCTCTGCGTCCACTTCTCCCTCCGAACAGCTACCGGGTTGGCAGCCGCATCCCCTCCCCCTGTCCTGGCCTTTGCACCAAACCCAGCAAAGCCCTGCTGAGCTGCACACTGCCCTGCACTGTCCCCAGCCCGTCCCATCCCTCCACAGCCCACCCGCTGCTTTTACGCGGTGGGCCTTGCTCACTTGGCTCCTGGCGGGCCCCTCCCTGCCCCCCACACCACAACACCTCCTGTGTTTCCAGAGTGTGCTCCACAGTCTAACCTGTGCTGGGAGGGTGGATTGAAGGTGTGAACCCTTCTACTTTAGCCATTCACTGCCATTGCAAAAGAGCATCCTGACCTAGAGCTTCTGCTACAGCAATCGACAATCACAAAACTGGCAGAAGGAGGAGCCGTGGTAGAGAAGGACACCAGTCTGTCTCTGGAGAAGGGAATGGGGCCTGGTTCACGGGAGGAAGGGGAGGAAGCTGGGACAGCCTCCAGGAAGAAAGGCTGGGATCCGCAGCGGCATCCACATGGCACATCTGGGTGCCCATGAAAGTAGGGAGAGAGGATCTGGACTCTTCTGTGGATCTGAAACCTAGCCCGGAATTCACAAGAAGCACCCTACTTCCTGCTCCTGGCAGCTACAGGCTCAGAAGCAGGGGCTGGCCCAGCACCCTCACGAAGATTGCTGTGGTTTACTGCACTTGAATTCCTCCCAAGATTGCGTCTTATCTACAGAGCATAACTTGACAGACTGTTTGAATACTGGGCATAGAAAGGTAAGTGGGAGTGAGCAACAGAAGCCAAGTTCCCCTTTCCCTCCAGGTGAGGTCACTTTCCTTCCTGCCAGCTCAGAAGCAAGCCCTGCTAGAGACCAGGGACGCCTGAGGGTGAGCGCGTGCACTGTGGGCTGAGGCTGGCTGCTGGGGAAGCGGCTGGGATCTGAGGAAGCCCTGCCCTTAGCCGAGAGGCTGCTGGTCTCCCAGTACGATGGCCCGAGCCCTTCCACACACAGACAGGCTGCATCTGCCCTGCTCCCTGGAGGAGTCATTTCTGTGCCTTGCCCTGCACCCCACTCCAGCTCTGGGGAGCTCCAGCACCTTCCACCCAGCACAGGAAAGAATGCCCTGCCCAGAAAGCCTTCCTGGGACAAAGTGTGTGTTCTCTGAGTGCCCGCAGTGGTCTCTTGCCAAAGGGACGCATGAAGCCGTGCGTGCAGGAGTGGGTGGGCACCACTGGCTGCCACTGGGGTTGCTGGGTGAGGCGGCTTAGCCACCGCCCGGGCCTTTGCAGGGTTCTGCAGTCACCATGCTCTGGCCATCCAACCTGAAGACAGTCTTCGCCCTCTGTGTCTCTCTTGCCTTCCTGGTCACCACTGTGGGTAAGAATGAACCCGTGGGTCTTGCTCCCCAAGACGGGAAGGGTGAGGTGAGCTCGCCAGGCTCCAGGGCTGCGTCTGGTCTCTGGGGAGGTTTCCAGCACGTTGATTGCCAGGAGCAGTGGCCCAGTGCAGACATCAACCGTCCTGCTCCGTGGTTCTCCTTCTTCAGTTTGCCTGGAGCACATTGCCTCTTTCTCCCTCAGAGAGCTATGAGTGTATAAGCTGCTCCGGGGGACAATGCAGGTCTAACCCGACAGCAACCTGTACCACCTCCCAAGGCTGCTTCAGCCTCCAGCAGGAATTAAACATCTCAGGTAAGCCATGCCTGAAAACCACCTGTGCTGCCAGATACATGGGAAAGACAGAAAATGAAGGGTTTGCCTGGCTCACAAGGGATGGGCCTTGTGTTCGATGTGGCACCTTTCCTTGGTCCTCAGCTCCTTCCACAATGTCCTAGCAGCATGGAGCTGGAGTGGGGACAACACAGATTCTCTGCGGACAGGCTCGGGTGGTCCAGGTCACTGCCCAGCCTCCTGGGTCAGTGTGTGTGACCCAAGCCCCAGTCAGGACACCAGCACAGACCCCCTTTCTAACCAGACCCTCCACTGTGGTTTCCCCTGGGAAATGAACAATGCACCACTCTTTGGAAAAGTGGAAAAGCTGAAGACCAAGGAAACAAAGGCTCCAGTTCCCAGACTGCTGCCTGTCTTGGCGTCAGTCTGCCCTGGCTCAGGAGGGAAATTCTCTGTGGGGTCTGCTTCCCTGCAGGACAGCAAATCTTATTGGCCCAGGATAAAGGCTGCTCTTCGGGAGCCTGTTCTGCACTGGCCTTCTCGGTGACACTCGGGGAAAAGAGGGCATTCCGCTATGACCGCCGGTGCTGCGACGGCCAGCGGTGTAACAAGGAGAATGTCACGCGTGAGTGCCCCTCCTGCCCAGCCGGGGCCCAAGCCCTGGGTTAGAAGTCAGTCTGGTCCTGGTGCTCTTTCCCCAGGCTGTCCCTGTGAAGGTCGGGTTGGGTGTGAGCCCTTCCTGCTGGGTATTGGGATTCACCCAGGGGTTTCCTCTAGGGCTGAGGCTGAAGGTGTAAATGCTCCCCCTGCCATTCCGGCTGCTACTCCTCCTCTATTCAGTCCTCCTCCTGTTAGGAGCATGTTTTCAGACACAGATTAGATCCTCCCCCCTTGTCTAGCTCTTTTTCTCCAGCCAGGCCACAGCCGGTGATTGGTGACAGGAAGGACAGCCCTGGGTTCTATGGGATCCTTTTGCTTGAATTCTATTTCCCCACCTCATAACCTGTTCCCATGCCATGCTGCTTGTGCTTCCTTCAAGGAATCTTGGAATAACTATGCTGTGAGGGAATAGACTCTTGGGAATTTTCTCCATTTCTTCATGCAGTGTCACTGAAGTCCTCAAAGCCCAATGGCATTGAGTGCCCTGCTTGCTACAATGCAACCGGCCTGTCCTGTACCCCAGTCCAACTACAGTGCACGGGGGAAGAGACGAAGTGCATCGAGGTGGTTGGCACAGGTATGGCCCTTCCCAGGCACTCCAGGGTTCCTCTCTGAGAGGGCACAGTTCCTGAGCCATCTGCAGGAGCAGGTCAGAAACCTGGATGTGGCAAAGCAGGGTGGTTCTGGTCAGGGTGTCCTGTGGCGCTGCAGTCACACTGGCCACAGGGGCTGTGGTGACTGAGGGAGAAGCTGGTTCCCTGCTCACTCCTGGCCTTGGGCAGCCTCAGGTCCTCTGTGCATGGGCCTCTCTGCAGGCTGAGGGTGCATCAGCCAGCTCCCCGCAGAGACACTGAGGAGACCCAGAGAAAGAGGGAGCCCTCAATAGCGTAATCTCACGAGTGACTTGTCATCAGTTCTGCTCCTCCCTGTGGGTCTCAGAGACCAGCCTGAGGCCAACTCTGATGCAGCATGGGAGGCAGGCACCCAAGGCACCTTTGCCAGCAGAGGGGAACCGCTGGGGCCCTTTGGAGGCTGACTTTGACCTATGGCAGTTGTACTACAGGGCCAAGCGCGAGGTGCTCCCTGCAAGGTTTGGGTGCAGCTATGGCGGGAGGAAGAAGAGAGGAGAGGAGAGAGGAGAGTGGAGGACAACTCTTCCTAGAGCAGACACCGAGACCACGGGGCATGAGTAGCACCATGGTGTCCAGATCCTGACCGTGGCTCATTGGCAAAGAGGGGGACACCCCAGTGCTGGCTGTCACCCTCACTGCCATCTTTGCTATTACCCCAGCCCATGAGGAAGCACTTCATGTTTGCGTGCTGTCGTCCTGCCATCAGGAAGAGTTTGTAATCTTTCTGAGCAGGAGAAGAATATCTATCCAGTGAGGGCACAGCCGCCGCTCAGAGAAGTGGAGAGGGGCCATGGTGTTTCCCTGAGGTGTGGTGCAGCCGGGGGCAGCCCTGTCTGTTCTTCCTTTGCCCACACGTGAAACGTTTTGTGGACATAGGAACTATCTAAACCATGAGACTGAATGTTTGGTGAGGACGAAGGCAAACTGTGCTTTTAAAATCCTCAAGAAATATTTACTGCACATATTAATAGGTCAGCGAAGTAATGCAAAGGTAGCATTTGTCGTAGTTTGGTAACTCGTGAGTCAGGAAATGCCAAAAACCTAGGGTAGTTCTACCTCAGGATTCAAATTGTTATCCTGTCCCTTTTCCTAAAGGTAAGAATGAATTTTCTGCGATTTTCATTTTATACTCACACACGCTCTTTTAAAAAGAGGATTTTTGAGGGAGGGTCTGAAACTAGCTGGATAATGGTGCTCTGTGCAGAAAAGTGGAGATCAATGGGGGACAGGGATGTGGTGTGGGATACGGCCATGGATTGCATTTGGCGACCACAGCACAGGCTTGCAGCTCCAGTTTCCCATGGGACATGCAGAAGGGCAGTGAGTTTTCGGGGTGTTGTTCTCCCAAGAAACTTAGAGCCCACTGCAAGAAGGGATCTTACCTTAAGGGAGCGCTACCGTGTCCCCTGTGCTTTCCCAGGGCAGCAAAGGGCAGGAAGAGGACAGATACCAGGGCAGGCTTAGCCAAACACATGTCTCCAGTTTCCCATGGGACATGCAGAAGGGCAGTGAGTTTTCGTGGTGTTGTTCTCCCAAGAAACTTAGAGCCCACTGCAAGAAGGGATCTTACCTTAAGGGAGCGCTACCGTGTCCCCTGTGCTTTCCCAGGGCAGCAAAGGGCAGGAAGAGGACAGATACCAGGGCAGGCTTCCAGCCAAACACGTGAGGTCCACCCTCCATCACCCTGCATCAGCCACCTGTCTTCTAAAGAGAACCCAAAGCTGCAGTCACACCTCCTATCTCAGTCGTCAGGGTCCCTTTAAATTCACTCGTGCCCTGGACAGACAAAGGGACCAGAGCAAAATGAGACTTTGTCCTGGATGAGCTGGAGCTGAGCTTGTGCTTCTCATGTGAAAGGCAGAGCCCTGTGTCCTCGGCATTCGGAGCAAATCCTGAGGGACTCAGGATGAGGGTCGGGAGGGGAGAGAAGACTGCAGACATGACTAACCCTCGGTCTCTCCCTCTACAGTCACAGTCAATCGCATCCCTTACTTTGCCCTGTTTGGTATGGGCTGTGCGACTGCCTCTGCCTGCCAGTTGGATTTGAGTGTCCTGAACGGCACAAGTGTTCGTTCCTACTGCGCGGGCCCCAACAGTGGCAGCCCCCCACTGATGTCAATCATCTCAGCAATTCTGCCTGGTCTTTTCCTGCTAAAAGTCTTGCTTTGATTTGTTTGGGCACTGGAAAGCCCATCAGTCTACAAACTTGAAGATATTGGAGTCCTCAGATGCTTTTTTTTTCCCCCAACATTCCCCAAAATGGGAAGATTAAAGGCTGGTTTTCCATAAGTATGAACATAAGTGCTCGTGTGTCTGTTCGTGTTCAGAAGTCGTCCTCACTCCCTCGTCCTCCTTGTCCATCCTCCGCAGCATCGTGCAGAGCAGGTCTGACTCAGTGTCTCTGTCATACCCCTTCATGACTTCTCCACAGCCACCCACGGGCACACAGCTTCTCACGGTGCAGGGTAATGACCATGAGTGAACGATGCAGGGCCCGGATGGAAGGGAGCTTTCCCACCATGATGTCTCAGTACCACTGAATCTGCCCACCTCAGAGCCCCAGGTGTGCAGTGCTCACCATGCACTCTGGATCCTTCTGCTTCCAAGAGTGAATGAGCATGAGGACTCAAGCACCAGATTAAAGTGTGGAGGAGCAGGTACCAGGATCCAGAGGACTTCTGCATACCCTCCAGGTCACTCTGCCAGCCCCTCCCACCCTGCACAGGATGCCTGTGTAGAGGCTGGGGAACTGGAGACAAAAAGCTTTGGCACAGTCCAAACCCATACTGTGTCATTAGGGTGCTGAGCCTGCAAGGAAGTAGTGCTGCTGTGGCCTCCTTACTTGGACCTCTTGAGCCCCCAAATTCAGTTTGTCTCCCATAGGGTACAGCACCACTCTTAAAATTGCCTAGAAGAAAAGAGTTTCCCAGAACTTATTTGTATCATTCGAAGGTTTGTTTGTAAAAGCAGGGCTATTTCCTGTCCTGGCTCTGGCCTCAACACAATTTGGGTTTTCCTTTCCTTCCAGACAAAGTCTCCCCACACCCTCAGCACTTCTCACAGTCTGCATGCTGAGGTTCCTTTCTTAGGACTGCTTTGTTATCGGGGAGCAAGTTAGAATAATGGAGATTCGCCACACTCTATGGCAGATTTGAGCCCATTTATTAAAGCAGGTGGCTGAGGGGGGCTGGTGCCTGGAAAGTTCTGTTCTATTGGCAACAGGAAGCATTTTTTTGTTTGTTTGTTTGTTTTTTCAATTGGGGAGGGCTCAGGGGAGAACAAGCCTAATCTTACAGAAGCAGAGCCATGGCAGGTTAGTGGGAGGAATAAGGAAGTTTCACACACTAGGTAAGCTACAGAACATCCTGCAACTGCAACAAGTTTGTTTCTTTGTTTGGTACTGGGGATTGAACTCAGGACCTTGTGCTTGTGAGGCTGGCAGCAGCACACTGAGCTAAATCCTCAGCCCTGCTGCAAGTTTCTTGCCAAACAGGATGCAGAGCTTTGAGTGCTCAGTCTAAGCACAGGTACAAACTGATCTTGAGGCTCAAGATGGAATCAGGCTGCCTATCACATTCCCACCTCCTCTAAGCATGATATCAAAGCAATGACTCAATCAGAGCCTCTTGATTGGATGAGGGATTACACAAGGGATTGTAGTAGTATCTCATACACATCAGTTTAACAGAGGCTGCAGACTATTTTGCAAAGTTCATTATTCAATTAACAATATAAGAGCCAATCAAGACCCTGGAAAAAGCAGGATGAGGAGACCAGCCAGTCCAGTGATGAGGGTAGTTACAAGGGCTCCATTTGAACAGGTTATCATACCACAAGTTTTTACTTTCCTCCTTCTGATGTCTATCTAGATTTTCCTTGACCTTTTGAAGGATATCATGGATTATACCAGACACATTGGCATACAAACAGTATGCCTCCCCTAAAGCAGCACACAATCCTCCTTGTGACAAGAGCACTGGATCAAGCCCCCTCCAACTCTGGAGGACCATCTCAGCTAGTGACTACTTGGGAGTGAAGAGTCTTGATGGCATATAGCAGGCTTCCTAGGTCAGTGTCTACCTGTGCTGCTAAGGCTGAGACTCTAATTTCTCCTCTAGCCACTGTGGCAGTTCCAAGAGCCACTGAGCCAGCTACCCAAAATCCCAACAAAATTGGAATGACTATAGGGGCTGCTCACTTCTGTCTGTATGGTACTACTGGGGGTGCTATGAATCCCAGCCCTGCTGTCCTGCATACACATAAACTTGAGGGAGAACTCGGATCACGATGCACAAGACCTCAGGTCTCATAACTCCCTCAGGAGTTCTGACACACCTAGTGAGTCCCAAGGTAAGAGCTAGCCAAGTGTCATAAGGGCAAAATAAGCCTTCAAGGTTTCTAGAGTCACAGTTTGGCTACACACAGCATGGAAAGAGGAGTTACTCTTATCATAAGAAGAAGTTGCCAGACAGATTGCATCTCTGTAAACCTCATCAATTGTCAAGGGGTCTTTGTAGAGGTGCAAGCTAAGGCAGTATTGAGGGCTTTGATGGGGCCCAATGCTCCCACACCCACACAATAAGGAGGCTTTGCTTTCAGACAGAGCCAACAGTCCTGAGCTGGCTCTGGTTGAGTCAGGTCTAACATATGTGGATGGCTCCCGGCATGAAGCTTTATTGGGAGCTAAGAGTAGACCCTTCCAGGGAGGGATAACAGGGTGAGGCTCAAGTAAGGGGTCCTTTACCTTCATTAAGGGTCCTATTGGCTGTCTAGGGGCTCTGCTTAGCAACTGGGTTTGAAAGGTATTGATTTCCCCTGGGTCAGAAATTAGTCCTCTGGGCACCCAGAAGCAGAAGCCCCAAATCCATCCTGTGGCCCATTTAGAGTCCTGGGGCCTTTGTATCAGAATCACAACTCAGCCCCCATGTTTCCAAACTGTGATATCATTAGTGACATTTGATTCCCCCACTGTAAGAGGCGATCTTTAAACAGCCCCCGGGAGGGCAGTAGAAATCAACTGGGGACCAAAACCCTGCTGTCCAGGTAAATTGAATCCTAGGCACATAAAAATCATGGCTTCCTGGATTTATAAACTGATAGTAGTAGCTCCCCAATCTCTCCTAACTAATTTACACTGATCAACTTTGGGCAACCTGCGAGGTTGCCCGGGGTGAATGGTACCAAAAGTGACACTACCTAGAATTTCTCCTGAACTAAAGGAGGTGAGGAGAAAGGAGTATAACTCTCCTCAGTGCAGTTCCCCAGAATTCAGCCTTGTTAGCCCAAAGACAATAAGGACAAGCATCACAATCATGCCTGAACTAGCCTTAAGTTTAAAGGATCAGGTCCCAGCTCAGCAGTCCACTGTTTTGCCAACTTGACGCATGAATGGTGAACCCACATCAAGATTCCATCAACCTTGAGAGCCAAGGGCATCCTGATGACGACCATGTAGGGTCCCGTCCAGGCTGCAGTCAGTCCTTCATGCCCTCAGGCTTTGATGAGGACAGTATCCCTGGGGTGGAATGGGTGGCATGATGTACAGCTGGGGAGGGGCTGATAGCTCATACCTGGGAGTGGACAGTTTTCTGTACCTGTTGGAGAGAATGGAGGGACTAGTCAGAAAACTCTTCTAAAACCTCACTTTGGACTTTTGATCAGGGAAAGGGTCTTTCAAACATAATTTCATAAGGAGTAAAACCTGCTTTGTAAGGGGCACATCTAACTCTAACGACAGCCAAAGGCAGCAGGCTGACCCACCCTTCACCGGTTTCCAGCATCAATTTAGTCAGAGTAGATTTTAGGGCCTGATTCATCTGTTCCACTTGCCCTGAGCTTTGCAGTCAGTAGGCACAGTGGAGTTTCCAATTTATACCCAGTGCCCTACTGAATGAGTTATTGAGGCTACAAAGGCGGGGCCATTGTCAGATCCAATGGACAGCAGTAGTCCGAATCTGGGAATTAATTCCGGAAGAAGTTTCTTTGCTATGTCAGTGGCAGTCTCCCAGCAAGGAACACAGACCTCTGCTCAACCTGAGAAAGTATCTGTGAAAACCAGGAGGTAGCGATAGCCACCCTCAGGTGGTTTGGACTCAGTGAAATCTACTTCCCAGTGTTTTCCAGGATTCCTACCTCAGAATCTGACACCAAGAGATATAGATGGGCCCTGGTGAGAATTTACTTGTATACAAGTTGGACACCTAGTGAGGCCTGGTGGTCATCTCCTGAAGCTTTGAAAAGCAGTACCTTAGAGCTAGGAGCTCAGCCATCTTGGAGTCCCCCCAAGTGTGTGACCGAATGCAGCTGCTGGATGAGCTGTCATCCTGATGCCTAGATGTGACCATCTGGACATTTCTATCAGCCTGAGGGATCTTTCTTTGCTTGCAGCCAGCTTGCTTCTTTATCTTCCTCTTCACTGTAAGTGGGGCTAGCTGGGAGCAAAGGGGGCAGTAGGCAGGATGACTAAGGGTTCAGCTGGCCTCAGGACTGCCTCTCTGCAAGTTAATTTCCCTTAGCCTTGGGTGTATTGTCCTTTTGGTGACCCTGAGTTTGAATGACGGCCACCTTCTTGGGAAGCATACCACCTCTAGAAGAGACAATATCTCTTCTTTGTTCTCAAAAGTCTTTCCTGTGGCTATCAGAAGCCCTCTCTCTTTGTAGATTCCGGAGTGGACATGTAGAGTAGCAAAGGTATACCTACTGTCAGTGCACACATTCATCTTTTTTTCCTTTCCCCTCTCAAGGCCTGGGCCAAGGCAGTCAGTTCTGCCTTTTGGGCAAAGGTTCCCTTGGGCAGAGGCTGGGCCCAGATGACTTGATCAACTGTAGTCACTGCAGCTCCCACCCTCCATATCCTGCTTCCCACCATGCTGCTTCCATCTGTGAAGAGGGTGGCATCCGCCTCAGCCAAGCGGGTGTCTGTTAAGTCTGATCAGTTCCCCCGGGTCTGGTCTAGCACCTCCTCACAGTCATGAATTGGGATGTCAGGGTCATCATCTGACAACGGCATAGCCAGATTGAGAACCTGTCCTGCTGAGAAGACTATGCGAGGCTGGTTGAGCAAGAGGCTTTGATACTGAGTGAGGTGGGCATTTGACATCTGTTTATTAGTGGCTCCCCTGAGCAGTCTCTACTGAGTGAGGGACAGTTAGGACCAGGTCCTGTCCAAGGGTCAATCAATCAGCCTCCTTGACCAATAAAGCTGTGGCAGCTACTGCCCGAAGACATGAAGGCTACTCTGAGTCCACAGGATCTAATCTTTTA